GGGGGGGGGGGGGGGGGGGGGGGGGGGGGGGGGGGGGGGGGGGGCGGATTGCCGGGCACGCCTCTCCCCAGGGCCGAGTCGATCGGGGTCGCCGCGCTCGGGGCTTTTTTCCGCCCACGATCGTGCCCCCCTGTCTCTCGCTGCTCTGGGCATGCACAAACACGCTGACTCACGCATGAGACACGTTCCAGAGCTTCCCACACGCGCGGCCCCGCCCCGGGGAAGAAGCCCGGAGGAAGGGTGCGGCTGTCGGGAAGCCGCCGCCGCCCCCGGGCCGGGGGGGGCTACGCCGGGGCGCTCTCCGTGACGACAAGATCGCGATTTGGTCATGTGCCGGCCATGTGACGCTCGGGCCGGTGCCGGGGTCAATCATGTGCCGCGACTTGTCGACTGCCGCTCATCGCGTGCGTCGGTACTGTGCCGACGCGCACGCACATGCGGACGCCCCCTGCCCGTTCTGCCCCTCCCGGCCGGCCCCCCCCCCTCCCCCCGCCGGGTTCCCCCTAGATCGTCCGCGCCCTCCTCCTCCGGGGCAGCCCCAGGTGGGCGTCGTTTGCACGTACATGCGTCCTGGACCGGAGAGCGGGTGCTCTCCTCCTGCGGGTCCACGCGAAAGGGAAGAATGGAAACGCGCATGTGTATTTTGAAATATATATAATGGGGGAAGGACAACTCTCTCACACACGCACACATATATACAGGAGAATAGGGGGGGGAGGGGGGAGAAAGAGAGGGAGGGAGGAGCGCGCGCGGATGTGCACACGACGAGGCAGCAGCCTCCCTCTCCTCTCGCTCTCTCGGCAGGGCGACGATCCTTCCTTTCCGCGCCTGCACGCGCGCGCGCGTGCATGCCTGTAGATATACATACACACACGCGCGCGCACATCCATACACGGAAGAGGCAGACGCAAGACCGGCTGCGCAGGGAGGGAGGAGGGGAGAGAGGAGGGGCCGCGCGTATGGGCACTGGGGCGCCGATGGGCGCAGCGCATGTGCACACATACGGAGCCCCTCCCCCGGCAAGGAGAAGATGGAGGGGGGGGGGGGGGGGAGACAGCAGAAGGAGAAGAGGTGGGCAGTTCTCGACAACGGGAGACAGACACACACATACGAAGGGCCAGACACCGGTGCGCGCGAAGATGACAATGCCCCACACCGCAAGTGGACGGGAGGGGGGGATTGCAGCAACATGCGCGCCCGCGGCTGTCCTGCGTGTGGCGGTGGCCCGCCTGGGGACTCCCCCCCTCCCCCTCCCCACCGGTCCGGGGCCGCCTCACGCGTGGACCGCGCTGGGCGCCGGAGGAGGAGAGCGCGCGCGGACACCCACACGAGTGCCCACGCGCTATACCTCCCCCCTTCGTCGCTCCGCCTCTTTCCCCCCTCTGCAAGCCGCTGGGGAACACCAGGGGGGGGGGGGGCACCCGAGCATGCGCAGGAGAGAGCAAAGGGGGAGGAGGGGGACCGGCGCCGCTTACAGGCGCGGGGTAACCTTCAGGGTGATGCCGTTGACACTGCCGAGGGTCATGTGGGCATGGTCGTCCGGGACGAAGTCCGCCGGGGTCTCGATGGAGAAGTGGCGGAGGAGGCCCACCAGGAGGGTGACCGCCTCGAGGTAGGCGAAGCGACGGCCGACACACACACGCGGGCCACTGCCGAAGGGCAGGAAGGCCGGGTTCTTGTGGGCGTCGGTCTTGTAGAAGCGATCCGGCAGGAAGGTATCGGCATCCTCCCAGACGGCGGGGTTACGGCCGACCGAGTAGAGGGACACGAAGATGTTGGTGTTGGCCGGGACGGTGTACTTGCCGTCGCAGATCTCCTGGTCGAACTCCGACTGGCGGGGGATGATCGGGACGGTGGGGTACAGGCGGAGGGCCTCGTTGAAGATGGCGTTGACATACTCGAAGTCGTTGCGGCGCTCGAAGATCTGGTCCATGGTGAAGCCCTCGTCGAAGATGCGGTCGATCTCCTCGTGGGCCTTGGCAAGGGCTGTGGTCGATGGAGCATCGATTGGCGAGGGGGACCGCCGGGGGCGGGGGGGGGGGGATGGAGACAGAGTCAGTCTTCTTGATGGGCATGTGCCTGCATATGCGCGCATGGGAGGCGCGACGGGGGGGGGGGGGGGGGGAAAAGGACCCCCCCCACCCGGGCTTTTGCCCCAGCTGTTAGAGCGCCCAGCCAAGGGTATGGGCAGTGGTCTCATGGCCGGCCAGAATGAGGGTGACCAGCTCCTGGCGGATGTCCTCGCGGGAGAACTTCTGGGCGTGCAGCAGCTCCAGGCAGGTGTTGGCATCCTGCTCGGTGGTGGTGTCATTCTCGTCGATCATCTTGTCGGCAACGCGGTTGAAGACATTGAGGCCGTCGAAGAACTCGGTCCACTCGCGGGCGTAGAAGATGCGAATCAGCCAGTCGGGGATGATGGTGCGGGCGATGAGGATGACCAGGAGCTTGTGGGTGGCGTCCATGTACTGGCTGTTGGTGGAGCCGAGCGAGGCGAAGTCATAGCCGAAGGCGCCGAGACCGATGGAATCCAGGGCCAGCTTGCTGATGTACTCCATGATGTTGACGGTGTCGTGGGTGCCGGAGGGGGACTCGGCGACGCGCTTCTGGAGGAGGTCCACCAGGACGGCGGTCTTGTCGATGAAAATCTTGGAATACAGGCGCATGTAGCGGTCGGCGAACAGGGGGGAAATGGCGCGGCGGTGGCGAGCCCACTCCGGGCCGGTGGGCAGGCCGAGCAGGCCGCGCGGCAGCGACGCCACAATGCCATTGTGGCCGCGATCCGGGAAGCGCTCCTTGTCCTTCAGGACCTCCTGGGCCACGTCGCCGTCGCCGACGACCAGGACATTGCGGGTGAGCACGCGCCGGCGCATGAGCGGCCCGTACTGCAGGAGCATCTTGTGCAGGTGCGAGTACTGCTTGGTGACCGGCAGCAGGACCGGGTCACCGATGTAGGTGCCGAGCTTGCGGTTGGTCGGCCCGGGGATCTTGAGGAAGGTGTGGTCCGCCGGGAAGATGGGGGCGAAGAAAAACTAGTGGCAGGGGGGAGGGAGAGAGAGGGGGGGGTGAGTGGATGTGGCGGTGGTGGCGGCAACCGCGGCAAGGGGGAGTGTGTGTGTGTGTGTGGCGCGCGCGGCCGGGCCGACAGGTACCTTGTAGATCACAAAAGTGACCACGGCCAGCAGGAGGCCGATGACAACTGGCGAGGCC